CATATCCCATATACATATAAACACATGGTTCACTTACGCGTAGAACATTTCCATATAATCGCATAGTCATATAATATTTCATATATCATATATTTTAATATAATTTGTATAGTAATACTCTATAATTGTATCATATAATGATTTTACCCAAGTACTCCTTTATAAAGTTTATATTACAGGTTCAATTAGTCTCATTCTATCTTATAAATAATTTCTACTTATTTTATATCATTTTCCTTTTCCACTCACATAAACCATCTATTTATTTAGTTCAATTTCTCATGACTTCCACAATACTCTTTAATAAAACTTTGTAGCTCTTCACTTTAATACATAAACCATAGTTTCCTTTAATTTATCAATCTTCCCTATATAACTTATGTATCCTTATTTATGCCCTCGAATTTATACTATTCTCTTAGAGTCTCCTAACATTTCTCGTATAACCACTTATACCATATCATATGACTTATACTTGATTATCTTATTCTCTCGTGTTCATTTCATTTCTTATGACTCTATCATATAACTTATTCCATGTTTTTCCATTATTACATAATAAAGTTTTACATAAATCATATAGCATATACAAAGCATATCATTATCTTTAGTCATGCATACATACAATCAATGTAATACAGATAATCACATATAATTATAACAACACATATCATGTCCATGACTTCATGCATATTACTCTAGGAAATAGACTCATCGCAAGTCTTATTTCCATTAAACACTACATATCACTAGTATGCACTCACCTTGGCCTCACTAGTCAATTCCAATCTCTTATCTTTCCCTTGATCGATCTTACTTGCAAATGTTTCGGAATTGCTTTACGCGCAGAATCTACATAAATGTACATTTTGAGGCAATCATTAGATACCTACACCTTGTAATTGGATACTAGCAACTTAAACGAACTTTACTTCATTTCATCTTAAACACTTCATATTTCAACCTCTTCTATATACTAAACTCAAACACACATACTTAAGCCAATTTGTACTCATTTAATCCATCTTAATTCTCAAAATCCTCTCCTCTTAATGAAATTCAAGAATTATACTTAATTTTCAACATATTCTAAATTCCTTTCTATCACTTTAAATCTCTTAATTCAACTATTGACAAGTCAAATTCAACTTAAAATCTCTTTAAATTCATTTCTATTGACTTTAAATTATACTCAATTTTCAACATGTTCTAAATTCCTTTCTATCACTTTAAATCTCTTAATTCAACTATTGACAAAGTCAAATTCAACTTAAAATTCAACTTATCAACTTTATTTCAAGATTTCATTCAAAAACTCAAAATCTTTAATCTCTCCTATACCTTTCATCTTGTTGTTTTAGAACCAATTAAGCTTTCCTTAAGCTTAATTACCATCCAATGATCAAAACCCAACCTTTAGTTGAATAAATAATCAACTAATGAAGAAACTTACCTTTGCCCTTGAGCTCTTACGGGAGGAGAAAGAAGAAAGGAAGAAGAGATGAAATGTTTTCATCTTCCACGTTTCAATCTCCTATTAAAGGGGATAAAAAATATCTTTATTGTCAAATGACCATTTTGCCCTTTACTACTTTGGATAATTACTAAAAACTTCCAGGGATTATCTCCACATAAATCATTGAACTTTTCATCTTTTCCACTTTAATCACCAAATTCTAAAATTTTACAATTTAGTCACTAACCCATAATTTGGGATGTTACAGGTAAATTTAGAGTTAGGAATTTTAGGATTTATTTTAGGGTTTAGGGTTTTTTTTTAAAATTTTAAAAAATTAGGATTTTTTCTAAATATAATAATTTTTTATTTTTTAAAAACAAAATTATCATAATGTGACACATGTCACTTAATGGTGGAATTTAACATCCGTTACGGACCAAACACCTAAAGTGATCAAGTTTGTAACGTTAGACATTTGGATTGACCGGAAAATGTTTAAGCATCACTTTAGGAAAAATAGTATAATTTAAACACTTTTTTATATTAACCCTTTATTTTGTTTTTTATTTTTTTCTTATTAAAATTAAATATTTAGTGAATGAAATATTTGAGGATAATTTATATAAGGATAAGTCATTAATTAATTTCAACTTTATTCTCATTTTCATTTTTATCATTAAAATTTTAAGAAAATTAATTATTAAACTTTTAAACTACTCCTATTTTAATCAGGGGCAGACCAACATGGTGCCCTGGGTATCCGGGCAACCCCTCAAGGCCTCAAAATTGTCTACTTATGGGCTATTTGTTTGGCTCTGAATAGAACCATTCAACGCTGAATGCTGAACCGTTCAGCATTCAGAGTGTTTGTTTCTCACCTCTGAATGATTCAGTGCTGATTGATTCAGCAAAACAGTGTTGAATGATTCAACACAGAAGTACATTCTGAATGATTCAGAGCCATTATCAAAAAACATGTCACATTCAGAGCTAATTCATACAGAGCCTCTGAATCATTCAGAATTTGAATCATTCAACACTTAATCATTCTGAAGTAAACAAACAACCCTTTAGTGTTAATTTTTTCTATTTTTTTAATTAATACAAGTACCACCCTTAATATTGTGCAACCCCTAAAAAAATTTTATAAGAGTTTTTTTGTGCAACCCCTGAATTTTTGTCCTGGGTCCGCCCCTCACTTTAATCACTTGACAATTTATCTCTCTAACTTTATCATTGTCACGACCGTCTTTCGGTTTGGGCCCCAGAATTGGGTTTCGACTTGAATTGATTGGGTTAGAGTCGCCACCGACCATTTTAAAAAGAATTTAGGTGGGTCGGACACCATCTTACCTGATCTGCGTTTTACCATAAACGTGTCGAGTTCGGGAGTCGGTTACGGTCAAGGAATGATTAGCACCCTTGAACCGCCCTTTCAGTACCAATTAATTTGTCGGTTGTCTTTAATTGCGAAAATTTAAAATTAAAATTAAAATTTAAAATACCCGATTCGAATTACTTACCTTTGATTGGTGGGAATTCATCTAAAAATGTTAGAGAAAATAAATAAATAGATAAATAAATAAATGCTAAATAAATCAAAAGAAAGAGAAAAAATGAAATTAAAAAAAAGAACATTTATAAAAAATAAATATCAAATAAAAATAAATAAGAGGAAAATAGAGAAAGAAAAAAAATAAAAAATAATAATAGTAAAAATATTAAATAAATCGATATACATATATATATATATAATGAAATCAAATAAAATATAAAAAAGGGAAAATAATAATAAGAATTAAATAATAATAATAAATATATATATGTATATATATAATGAAAAAAAGAAAATAAATAAATAAATAAAACATGAAATAAAAAATGATTAATTTAAAAGAAACTAAAATTAAGGAATCAAATTAAAAGAAAAAAAGGTTAGATTCGAATTACAGGGGCAAGATAAACTCTTACAAAGAATGAGGGACTAAAAGGGAATTTTCCCTTTTTATCTCAGAAACACGCGGATCCCTGGTTATGGGTCGGGTCAGCGCGCGAGTTACAGATGACCCATGGGTCAGATATATAAGCCCCATTTTCAGCTTTTAGGCTTTTTTCTATCATCTCTCTCAAAATCATACCTGCCTCATCCTCTCAATTCTCTCAAAACACCCCTCGCCCGGCCGAATGCTTTTAAAAAAAAAACTATATAAATTTTTTTTTAAAAAAACATATAATATGTAGTTTTAAAATCATATAATTTTCAAAAACTATATATTATATAAGTTTTCAGAATGATTTTAAAAATTATATATTATATATTTTTTTCTAAAATGTTTTTAAAACTACATATTATATGGTTTTGAAAAGCGTTTTAAAAACTATATATTATATACATTTTCAAAATATTTTTAGAAACTATATATTATATATGTATTTTCAAACCGTTTGCAAACTATATAATATATATATATATATAGATATATGTGTAAAATAAAAAAATAGACGAAAATGATTGTCTACAATCATGATTTAAATTTTTTATTTATTTTCAGCCATATAGATACTAAATCCTATTAGCTAACTCGATTATACCATTGAACTTCTAGTTTTTTTTTCTATTAAAACACTGAATTTTAGTTTTACATTCAATTATTTACTTAGTCGTTAAGTCAGTAACGAAACAATGATATGGTTAATGATTATTGACGTGTCTAACACACTAGAACGACATCATTAAATCATTAAAGTTTAACGTTATAATTAAAAAAATTCATAGTTCATTGATGTAAATAAATCAACCCATAAAATTTAATAATATCTGATGTAATTTACACTTAAATAATATAGATAGCAAACCTGTTGTCATGTGTACTTTTCCAGATTCATCCACTTCTATATAAATGAGTCCGAGCTTAGTTTTTGTTGATGCGCAAAAAGGGAGGCCGTGGTGCTTCATAGTTCACTCAGTGAGTCGAGTCATTAATTAATCAAAAATAAACAAGGGGGACACATAATTTGAAAGAAAGAGAGTTAAAAGTTCTAAAATACGATGGGTTTGGATGAAATCTTTGATTATTTTTTTTTTAATTTAAGAACATCATAATTAGTTTAATATTCATAATTAATTTTAATTAGACCTAAATAAATTTACTTATATTCGGACTATAATGATTTTTTTATCTGCATATGGTCATTTTATAATGTATTGTTTTTTCATGTCGTATCGTATTTTTATTTATTTATTTATTATGTCTAATATTGTCACATTATACTCTTTTATACAGATGAACAAACAAATCATGCATCATATCAACAGGAAAAACATTAAAGAAAGTTAAAAATGGCAAATGAAAATCATACCAAGAATTCTGATAGAAAAACGAAAGAAAATCATCACAGTGATGATTGTGGGATACTACAATGTAAAAGAAGAAGAATTATTATAGGGAAAAATAGTTGAAGATTTTCATTCTTCACTGCACTGGCAGCACTCAGGCACAGATAAATCAAGTACCGCATTATGACCAACTGTTATTCGGATTCAGGTTGAGTTCAAATACGAGTATCAAACACGAATACTTTAGAGAATGAAACACTTACTTTTCCAGTGATCTTAGTATACATCTGGATCACATCATTCACAGTGGTTTCGAAGTGTGTCGTTGGATCATAACTCTGCAATGAAATTCGAAACTCGAATCAGCAAATCATATGAAACAGAGTGAAGAAAGTCCTTACAGCAGATATGAAGCAGTTGTCGGCTGCATGGTCGTTAGTTGGGACATATCTGTCGTAAGTGTCGTAGAATATCTCATCTACCAGTCCGAGTAGCTTAATGCCAGGCTCCAACTCTACCTTGGGGTCTTCGGTCTCGGCCTCTGTTGAAACGAAAGCAATGTATTTCCCCTTGGGAGCAACATTATGAGCATATGAGCAACAGAAAAGGTACCTGCAATAACAAAAGTAAACCTCGCAAGGTACCGACAACCGATGGTCAAGGACTTATAGAACTTGTTTGTTCAATGGAAACTCTACTTTTCTATACAATCTCCCAATAAACTTTCAGACATATATGCATTAAGCAATTTATGATAGCAGAGAAAGTTATCAGCATACATGTCTGATTTACGGCCGAGTTATTGTCACATTATACTTTTTTATACAGATGAACAAACAAATCATGCATCATATCAACAGGAAAAACATTAAAGAAAGTTAAAAATGGCAAATGAAAATCATACCAAGAATTCTGATAGAAAAACGAAAGAAAATCATCACAGTGATGATTGTGGGATACTACAATGTAAAAGAAGAAGAATTATTATAGGGAAAAATAGTTTGAAGATTTTCATTCTTCACTAGCACTGGCAGCACTCAGGTCCACAGATAAATCAAGTACCTGCACATTATGACCAACTGTTATTCGGATTCAGGTTGAGTTCAAATACGAGTATCAAACACGAATACTTTAGAGAATGAAACACTTACTTTTCCAGTGATCTTAGTATACATCTGGATCACATCATTCACAGTGGTTTCGAAGTGTGTCGTTGGATCATAACTCTGCAATGAAATTCGAAACTCGAATCAGCAAATCATATGAAACAGATGTGAAGAAAGTGTCCTTACAGCAGATATGAAGCAGTTGTCGGCTGCATGGTCGTTAGTTGGGACATATCTGTCGTAAGTGTCGTAGAATATCTCATCTACCAGTCCGAGTAGCTTAATGCCAGGCTCCAACTCTACCTTGGGGTCTTCGGTCTCGGCCTCTGTTGAAACGAAAGCAATGTATTTCCCCTTGGGAGCAACATTATGAGCATATGAGCAACAGAAAAGGTACCTGCAATAACAAAAGTAAACCTCGCAAGGTACCGACAACCGATGGTCAAGGACTTATAGAACTTGTTTGTTCAATGGAAACTCTACTTTTCTATACAATCTCCCAATAAACTTTCAGACATATATGCATTAAGCAATTTATGATAGCAGAGAAAGTTATCAGCATACATGTCTGATTTACGGCCGAGTTGCTTCTGAGGCAGAATAACCTGGGCTGAGTGAGACTCATTGGTATCTGGAATAGGGTGGCTCATAATGCAGATAGCACGCGCCACTTTTCCGACCTTCTTTATCTGTTGCATCAAAATAACAGGAAGGAAAAGTCGATATACTTGTGTGTTAAGGATGCATAAAACGATGAATCGTTTCTTCGGAAGTTACCCTATCGGACAAGTAAGATGGATCACAAACAACTTTCTTGCACTTAGCAGTTTCCCCTTCAGAAGTCACACCGATAACTTTTCCATCATCACCGAACTCTACCTGCGACCCGAAGTTTTGCATGAAAAATTTAAAGACACCAACTCGCCAATTTGTGAATTACAGAAACCGGGATCATAGAATGTCCAAAAAGATGAGAAACAAAACGAGATTCTCAAACTAGTTTTCGGTGCTTCGTGACATCTGAACTCGGTGGCAAGCTTAAAGATGTTAGTGATTACTGATTACGCGTATCTTAGAGAAAACGAGGCAAGTTACATTCTGAGTTTCGTGTTCTGAGAGATTTACCTTACATTCAGGCTTGTTGAGCATGTAAGTACCTCCGTAAACTGCACTTAAACGTGCAAATGCCTGCCAATAGAAACATAATGAATCAACCTCAACCAACATGTTTCTATTTAACTAGAAAAAGAACTGCAGATAATGAAAAACCTGAGGCAATTCTCCCAGTCCTAATGGATAGATATAAGGAGATCCTCCTTGAAACCGTGCCAAAGACTCTGCATAGAGCTACACAAAAGACAAATGCATAAATACCGAATCTTATTACTGATACGATATTCGGAAACGAATTTTTACCTTCATTCGCTTAACGAAATCCAAAGCTGGCTGATCCAAGTAACTATCATCACTGTAGAGTGCCAAGGCATGACCGATGAAGTCGATTGTATCATCTTCTAGCCCATACTTCCTACATTGCAAACAATACCAAGCATCAAGACCAGTAAACTGTAACAAATACTAGTCATTGTAACCATTGCAATAGGGATGAGATGCTTACGAGATAAGTTCTCTGGCCGTGACTTTATTCAGGTCTAGTCCTTCATGAGATTTCGGATCATTATCATCATAGTCTTGGACATAGATGAAAAACTTTCTGGCACGACGCTTCTCGAACAGCCCCATCAACTGGGATTTCAGTGCTTCGACGTCAGTCGCTGGAACTTTATAGATCTACACGTGCAATGGCGATTCAAGTCATTGAAAACCATAAAAGTTTGAACTAAAAAAGTGATACGAATTTAAAAACAACAATCCCTTACTTTCGACTGGTCTTCAGCGGGAAGTAACGAGATTAACGCCTTTCGGAAAGTACTAAATTCACGCTATTTTATGCGCGTGGTATATGCTTGGACTCCAATATTAGACTTTGTTTTCTTTATTTTTTAATATATTTTAAAATGAATAATTGTATAAAATGTAAAATAACATTTTTAATCATAAAGTTTAAGTTTTAGTCAATTTACTTTAACCATTAAAAAACATAAAAATTCAAAAATATAATTTTTATTAAAGATTATTAAAAAAATTAAACATTAACGGTGGAGTCACCATTAATTAAAAATTATATATTAATTATAATATAAATTATAAAATAAATATAATTAATTTTAAAATAAATTAATTTAAACAATACTTTTGACAATTACTATATAACAACTAAATCATTTGATCTAATAGTTAAACATCGGAGGAATTTTTCTAGAAAAATGTTTTTTTGATCAAAATTGAAACATTAAACGTTAAGGTATTTAATCATTGAGCGTCCCAATTTCAACATGTTTGCTTGTCACATGGACAACAACGCTGAAAAACAAGACCGCCAAAAAGCCTGCTCCAAGAGTGTATTATGAAGAGTATGATTCATATGTAGAGATTTTAGAATCGAGTGGACCTTCCGAGGATGAGGATGAGGATGAGGATGATAAATGGCCGAAATATGAGAGGGAGAAGAAGCAGGCAAAGAATGAAAAAGGGAAAGGATCTGCTGGGAGAAAACCTAAGAAAGCACAAAGAGAGAGTGAATCAAGGGAGAAATGAGCAAGTTAGTGCAGCTCGCAGTGCAAAGTCGGATGGTGTTCCGATGGTGCTCGAGGGAGAGCCAACGGCTGAATCGAGCAGACGTCGCAAATAGTGAGAGGAAGCAGATGGTAAAAGGAGCAAAGAATCTGGGGAAGTTGGACTTGATTGTAGAGTTTAGTAATGAAGTGAAAGAGCTGGTGGCAATGAGTGAGGGGAACTATTTTTTTTATAGTATGGGTGATTACAATGTAGTATCTGTTCTAAATCTCATACACAATACAAACGCAACTGTTCAAACTCAAGAATTCTACTATTTTGGGTCAAATTGGAGAAACATAATCCATCTTCAATTCCAAACCATATCAAATTTGGGCATGAAAAGATACTCAAAGAAGCCAGACATGTTGGATGCTGGCGGTGAGTGCCCCGCCCCCTAAACCACCATTAAACTTCAAGTCTTCACATCTCCCTATAGAAACACGTTTTAGCAAAGGAAACGATGGCAAAGATAATTCTACAAGTGGATGACATTTGCTGCCCTCTATATCCAAGGATTCAAGGGATGTATACAATAATATTTTGGAATAATCCAAGACATCGCACCTTCGGATCACCAAGTGCTTCAGAGTCAAAGGCACATTAACTTCAGTAAGGGATCTGATATCAGAACAATCATACATGCTTAACTTGTCCAGATGAGTGCATTGTTGCAACATATGTTCAACCGTGGAATCATTCATAATTGCCCAAGTTCAAGGCATTTTGAATAGAGTCATTCTAAATGTTGGGTCGAGATTAAGGTAATCGGAAATCTAACATATCCGTCCTGTTGCCATCCATAGTTTTAAGTTAATCTAGTGGTGGACGGTGTAGATTTTAATCTTGATATGATAAAGATTCAAATTAAAAGCTTATTTTCACGAATCTCGAGTGTAAAAATCTAAATCATTAGAGGTAAAGAGAAAAGAGATTGCTTCATTTTAGGGTCAGTTTATTTTACTGTAATTGGGTTTTCGAAAAAAATTTCTTTATTTTTTAACGTTTGGTTAGCGAAAAATAAATAATCAATGTAATTCATTTTCTCGATCAATATAATTTTCTTTGCATTTTCTGAAAAATGACTTACGGTTTGATTTTTCGTAAGTCATTTTTTAAACTTTTTACTTCAAAACGTAAATACTCAAAATAATATTATTTTATGTATTTAATATTAATATATATTTAGTATCATTTTAATAAAAAATTAATATATTTATTAATAATTTTAATAATAAATTATATTATATTATAATAATATATAATATTATACTCTTATTTTAATAATATATAATAAATTATTAATAAAATTATTTATTTATTCATTTCACAAAATAATATTATTAAATTATTAAATATCTACAACATATTTTTTAATATTTTTTAAAATATAATATAATATTCTTATTTTATTAAATAATTTATAATATTTATAATATTTTTATTTTAATGAAATATATAAATTTTAATATTTTTATTTATAAAACCATAGAAATAATATTTTAATAATAATATTTTATTGGTTTAAAAATTACTATTTAGATTAATCAAAATCTAAATATTTTAAAGTTAAAATACCTAAAACAAATCCAAATATACAGGGGCAATAGCAGAATTTGGTATACAAATATATGCACCTTATTTTAGCAAACACTTCTCTTGCACTTAGTAATATATATAAACAGCTTGTTTAATAAGATGCAATAAGCACATGCTTTAATTTATCTCTGTTTCTAAAGCTTGATTTTGCTTTTCCACGTTGTTGTTTCTTGGAACTCACCATATAAGTAATTCAGAGATCCCCAAAGAGAGAAAACAAGGGCTGTGCCTTTCTCCACCTGGAACTTTTCATTGTAAAACAAAACTGCTAACGATTCTGTCCCCGGAAGCAGGGCCGCGATTATTATACCCGACAGCAACGAGAGGCCGAGAAAATCACTCCCACGGCTCCCATGAAGAACATCTGCCATAACATCGCATTCAACACGAGTACCACGTAGTACGTCGATTGTCCGAGCTGATACTCGCTTGCCTCCCTTGGAATTGCCTGCAATTAACCACGAAATCATTAGAAACTGACATGACAAGTTGTTCATTTGTGTCGATCCGGCTAATGACCAGGGTTTCAAATCGCGGTCGCGTTTTCGGTTATTTCGGATTTACCTTGATTATGGCCGTCGCGGGTAACTCGGACGGCGGCGAAACTGCTATATCGCGGCCGAAATCGCGGTCGCGGACTTTTTTTTGAAACCCTGCTAATGACCTTGAAGTCTCCGTGGAAGACCATCCCGATGGAACAGAAAACGGTAGCCGAAAACGACATAACCATCTGCATCTCCATGACCAAAAGTAGTGACAGTCTGCTTCGCTTTCTTGTATGTCAACTCGATGGCTGGCAACACGAATCCATAGAGCGTGGAAGCTCCAAGAGTCATAAAAAATCCCTGAAATACCGTAGCTTGGATTCATTTGCAGGGCGATCTGAACTCGTATGGAGTGCAAGAACGACTGCTCCGAGAGTCAACAAGAAGATCGAGTTCTTTATTGCAAACCACGATGCTTAGAAATTATGGACCAGATGTTGTCATCTTCTGAATTATAATGTCAACTCAGATTGTATAAGCAGACTTTTATGGTGAATAAATTGTCTGTGGACCATTTCCATCCCAGTGCATTGCTTACATCTTGATTCACCGGTGGCTTAATAGCATCCAATTTCAGGAGTGTAGAGACTGGTAGTTGTTGGGAAATTAAACGAGAACGAGTAATTTCCTTATAACTAGATTAGTGAGAATGCGAAATAAAAGCGGAAAAATAATACCCGAAATTGATAACGGAGTTCAGCCAATTATGCCTACGTCTCCGGACTGCTGCAGATCTTTTACTAAAGGGATAAAATTTACAGGTGTTTACAAAAAACACTTGAGAGAGAGTTAGAATGATTTGGGGATGATTTTTAAGCTAAATGAGTTAGGGTATTTATAGTTAAAGCTTAAGGACTAATCTTTGAAAATACCCTAAAGTGCAGGGACTATAGTGCAATTATACCATTGCAAAAAAATCAACAAAATCGGTGTGCACCGAAAGCCACCGAATTGCAGCTTAAATTTGTCAAATTTATTTGCCACCAATTTTGACTTTAACAATCTCTCACTTGAAGGTTGATTTTTATCTGTCGTCACACCTTGATCAATGCAGCAACATTTTTGGTCTTGTTACTCTAGCATGCCAACTGAAGTTAAACACAACTTTAGTTTGTCCGTAGTCACCGCCCTGTAAACCTACTTGTTATTGGGTAGTTTCTCCGTGGTTGCCTTGCCCCTTAACGTCTTGGCTCCCTTCGACTCTTGTCCACTAGTCTTTGAAGGATTGTTCCTCACTTGAACATCCTCGGCAAGCCTCTGCTTTGATCCTTCTCTTAAGATGGTCTCTAAAGCCACGTTCTCTACACAAACACATGCTCGACAAACTCCTTGGACACTGACAACTCTTCTTGCACTTGGCTTCTACTCGCCTTAGCATAAATGAACCTTATTGAGCCAACTCTCAACGCCTCTTCGATCTTGGGTTCGTTCTCTTCTTTAGACAACTCGATCTTGGGCTCATCAATCACCTTGGATGATTCGGGTCCCCTCAGGTAGTCTCGCAACACTTCTGGCATCTTAACTTTGCACCCCCTCGTTTGCTCGACTCTTACCCTTGGCTTAGCATCTTTAACAATTGAAATTGTGTCAATATTGCACACCTCTTCCCCAGACTCACCATCTGGTTCATCATTGATCGGACTTTCTCTACCACTCGAGGAACAACATTCTTCATCCTTCGACTTGCCTTCATCATGGATTCGCTTGCCACTACCCTCGACTTTTGGCTTTGTTTTGGAAGTCTTGTTTTTCTTGACTCCAAATTTTTTGATGGACTCGGCAGTTGTCAAGGCTTTAGACAATTCTTTGACTTCCCTTCGCTCCAACACTTTCTTCGCTCATGGCTTCAATTCGAACATGAAGGTGAAGAACCCATATTCTTCTGTCAAACTTGGAACTTTGAGCATGAGTCTTCTGAATCGACTCACATACTCCTTATGTTTCCATTTATGCCTGAGACGCCTCAACTTGGACCACGCCTTCATCCTGGCATACTTTGAGCGGACTTGCTCACTTTGCACCCTCGGCTTGACGACTTTATCTATTGCTATCGCACCGGGTCCCTTATTGTGCTCGACTGCTTTGACACCCGTAGTCTCGTCACGTCTCGATCTTGGATTGACTCTTGAGAACTTGTAGTCGTAACATGTCTTATTCCTTGCTTGGCCGCATTGATCCCCTCAATCGGACCAAGTCTTTTTTCTGGCTTGGTAGTTTTAACACTTGCGACCGCGCCAATTCCCGCTACTTCTCCTTCTCCCATCCTCTTCATGATGGTTGCAATGCGACACTTCTCGGGACATCCTCTAATCAAATGAGGACCATCATAGAAGTAACACTTTAATTTTTCTTTGCTCACCTTCTTCTTCGCAACGGACTTAGCCTTGTCATTCTTTCCCGATGGCTTTCCTTGGCTACGAACAGTCGATGGCTCACATTGGTCATTCGAAGAGCTTCCTCTACCATCTCCCCGCTGCACCTTTTCCCGGTCTCCCCCATTATTGCCACTATCTCTGGGCATGGGCCTGGACGACACATCGCTACTTGGCTTGATATCTGCAAGCTCAGTCAGATTTCTGACTATAACTATAGCCTCCGAAAGTCTCTGGGCATCACCTTGCTCTCTCCCGAGCATTGCCCCTGGTCTAAGTCCTTCCAAGAAGGTCTTGAGCGCACCATCCAACTTCTCAATTTTCACATTCCCTTTGTCTTCAGCCATCGCTCCCACTCGAATTTGACTTCGTTTGGATCGTTTCTGACAATTTATGCGAACCACCGTGTATTAGAACACCTTCGATAAGCTCGTATGTCTCAACAAATTTCGCTATTCACAAAATTCACTATTCATATGAATAGTAACCTCGCAGAAAAATTGACAAAATTCACAACCAAAAGCTCTGATACCAGTTGTTGGGAAATAAACGAGTAAACGAGTAATTTTCCTATAACCAGATTAGTGAGAATGCGAATAAAAGCGAAAAAATAATACCCGAAATTGATAACGGAGTTCAGTCAATTATGCATACGTCTCCGAACTGCTGCAGATCTTTTACTAAAGGGAAAAAATTTACAGGTATTTACAAAAACACTTGAAAGAGACCTAGAATGATTTGGGGATGATTTTGAAGCTAAATGTGTTAGGGTATTTATAGTTGAAGCTTAATGACTAATCTTGAAAATACCCTAAAGTGCAGGGACTAAAGTGAAACTTTCCCAAGCTAAAAAATCAACAAAAAACACAGCCTAACTTTGAATTCTAAGCAGCCCCATTTGAATGCTTTAGCCGCCGGCTGCTAGCATTCATTTTTGACCAACAGTAGTAGATGCTGAAATTTCTCCCATTGTCATTCCCCTTTAGCTCCAACCATTGAACGAACCGACACAAAGCCTGAAAATTTAAAATTCTCCTATATTTTAGATATTTTTTTATTGATAATTTGTTTTTACTCATCTAAAATTTTATAAGTTCATTCTACCCTAAAATTTTATAACTTCATCTCTAGCATAAAATTTTACGTCCTTGCACCATGATCTCAATTAGCGAACTTGAGTCACTCACCCACAAGTCTTTCAAAAAATCAACATCCTCATTGTTGCCGATGTTCCACCAGAGACTTTGTCGAGTATCCTCCCATACCAAAGACAAGCCTTCCCAAGGCCTTGAGCTGTTATGTCGTCCAATAGAAAAAAGGAACTTTGTCATAAATTTTATATTTGGGCACATAAAATTCGGACCCAAAGATAATCAGCTTTAGACAAAAATTGAAGGTAATTTTCATGAGAAAGGCTTCATTTTGATGCTTTAAATATTTTAAGCCGAGCCCCTCATAAGAAATTGGCTTGCATTACATCTTCCCATTTTACCAGATTAATACATTCTTTATCCTCCACTCGACCCCCTATAAAACTTTGAATTAGTCGCTCGATTTCTTTACAAATTCCAATAGGCAGCAAAGTGGATCGCATCGCATAAAAAGGAAGAGCAACTAGAATCGATTTCGCTAATATGATTTGACTAACCAATGATAGAGCCTTCGCTTTTCAGCCCAATAGTCGATCGCGGACTCTTTGCACTAGGTACTAATATGTGGTACAAGAGACTCTCTTATGCAACATCGGAACCCCTAAATATTTCCCTAAATCACCCACTTTGGGAAAGCCAAAATTGCTGCTAATAGTGTGCCGAATATGTAATTCGAGAATAGAATTTGGGTTTTGGCAATATTAACCTTATTTCCCTAATAATAACAAAATTTTTAATGCCTCACGAATAATATCTAATTGATCAAGGCTTCTACAAAGAGTCAAGTCATAAACAAATGCTATAATCTTGTTCATTCGTTTATATTCAATTCAATATCTTAAATTATTATAAAACTAAAGATTATTGCGCAGTGCAAATCTTTAAATAATCATGATGGCATGAGCAAATTGATTGTTTATTCGATTCATATAAAGATCAATGTAGTTGAATTGATGACAACTTAGTATATTTACTTTACAACTAATTTATAACATAATATCGAAGTTTGATGTAGTTTGCAAGTAACGTATAGGTGAGAAGTTGCAAGTAAAGTTTGATGTTTCTAATTTGACCCTTAAGAACCAAGAAAAAAGAGAGAGACAAGAATAAATTTATCTCAATTTTGAATCTTTTTATTTATCTTGAATTATCATAAAAAATATAAAATGTTGAATATATGTTAAAGTTTTTGAATTAAATTTTGTGTCATTTCCGTGATCAATATAATCTTTGAGATTCGGCTGGACGTTTTCTTCGAATCTGTGGTCGTTCAATAATGTAAAAATAAAACAAGTAGCAAAGAATAACTTTTGAGAGAAACCTAAACAGCTAAAATTAGCAGGTTATAAGCTGAAACAGTTGTCTAACCATTCTAGCTCCTTCACCAACACATTTTTGAACAATCTCACTTCCAATAACTCGGATGAAGCAAGCATCAGTTAGGGTCTTGCAAATATACGTTTATCTAAAAAAGCCTTTGAAGGCTACAAATGAAGGAAACAATGCAACTGCAACGGGAGAAATAAAATATATAAAACTATCGACTTTTGTAAATTTTGAGGTATAATTTCTACGGGTTAAAATAGAGATTTGAATCATAAAATTATAATTTTATATGTAGACATAATTTAAGTAATCTGTTGCCTTGATTCAAAAGACTAGAATATTACGCATTAATAGTTTCTTGATTCTTGGATATTAGTTGATCCATTATTCGAACTTTCCAATAGTTATTTCAGTGCGAATCTCATGTTTAAACTATATAAATCTACAAGGTAAACACGCACAAAAAGTAATCAATACTCAACGAGTCGAAAAGCAATACAAATCAACATTTTTCTTCAAACCATTTTAGTAAGTTTTAGAAGAAGATGAAGAAATGACTTATTACATAATCTATAATTAAGTGACCTTGAGAGTCCTAAAAATAATAATATCAAAATTTATGAGATGAAGATTTACGGATTAAACTATGTAACAGAAAATGTTAAAATTTGTTGGGAAATGAGTCTATGATTTTGAAAATGGTGGACCTTGCCTGCAAATTACAATCCACTGTGCTTCAGCTTCAACAATCAGCAGAGTCAGAATGGGTCTCACCTAGCATCACCTAAAGGATACACTCCATCATCAATTTTGAACGAGAGGGATGTGGGAAATGTTGGGCCAATCTCTGCCAACGTTCCTTCAGCAACGGACAGTATCAATACAAGGAACATGAAAAGCGTGGCTACACTTGGGCAACAGCCTCAAAGTCTCGTCTTCCTCGAACTCGGTCAAGCAAACGGAGCACTCGGTTCCATCGACGATACCATCGCCTTTCGTATACTTGAAAACAGCGATCGAATCAATGAAAGACGGCTGTAAACCGAAAGTGTTGATGTACCATACGTGATGATCAATGACCACCGGACCATGATCTTCATCGAGGAACTAGTTGTGAGTCTCGTTCGTCGACTAACGCCGTGGATTCAATCGTCTAGAAGCACCGGACCGCCGTTTATAACACCTGATATGGTAAACGTAAAGGCACAGAATCAAAAACAAAAACGTGAGAACTGTGAAGATTATGATCAAATACTTGGTGGGCAACTTCGAGTGATGAGCCGGTGTATGTAATACGGGATTTTCATCATCATCATCACCACCACATAGCTGAGAGCATAATTTAAAACACGATTATGATGATGTACAGATTAGTTGGCAATCAAAATCATCAGTCTTCTGGTAAGGATTCATTGATTTGATTTCTAAGTTCAAAACCCATTAGGGAATCAAAGAATATAAGCAATAAAGCAAAGGAAAAAGAGAAGAAAAGGGTGGAAGGAAAACCACAGGGAAGAATGATTCAAAGGGGTTAAATTGAAGATGCCATTAAACAAAAGGGATTCCTTGGAATGGAAACATGCTACTTTGTTTACTGGTTTTTGAAACTTACCGCGTTTGCTCGACTTTCTTGGCATGGCCGCTTATAGAATAGTTTACTAGTTGAGGCAGGAACCCAAGTAGAGCACACAAAATTTATTGCTTAATGTTGGCAAATTATCACTAAATCATCTTAAAATAACTTTTTATTCATTAAAACAAAGCAATAAATTAATCAAATAATAAAAATATTTATATTATTTTATCTTACATGAGTCGAAATCAAACATTTATCTTGTAATATAATACATCTCAACTTCATTAAAAAAAAAGCAATAATAAAACAACAAAACAAATAAGAACTGAAGTATCTTGTTGAATTCTCGAGGAACCTACATTAAATTTTATTATTAATTATTAAATAAATATTATATTATTAATTATTATTAACAAAATAACGTGACATTAAATAAATAAATTATATATAATTTAAACCTCCAATTAAAATTTTATTTAACACTTTTAATATTTTGAAATAATAATTTAAAAAAATAAATTAATCCATTTTTAAGCAATAATTAGTTAGATTTTAAGACGGATGATATTTTTTAAACTTAAATCGGGTTAATCAAATCAAATTTGGATATATAAAAAATACCCAATTGACTCGTTGTCGCCCCTAAGTGGGACCACTAATTTAAAAATGACATAATGATAAAATTAATCGTTAATGTTTGACAAATTAACCATTTTACTCAATTAACAGTTTCATTCAACCATAGATATTTTACCATAAAATAAAATATTTGGAGTCAAAGTGTTTCAAAGCAAAAGAATAAAACCAAAATAATTATTTTGTCTACAGATTAATTGTCATTATGCCTATAGAAATACCAACATCACACATTCGAGTTCAAGTTTAGATAATATTCAAATTTGGATATGGATATTTCTATTGTTACATGTAAATTTCAAACACAGGAGGTATTAAACCCTTAAATATTTATTATTCAAGTTCAAGGTCGATTTATTTTTACGGATAATAAGATTTAAATTTGAATCTCGCTTTACTTTTTTGGTAATATTAAATTTTTAACATGTACTAACCCTTAATTTTGAATTTTTACAGATAACTCTATCATATCTGATTAAAGTTAAACATTAAATTTAAGCATAGGTCACTTGTGTTTCTGACCAATTTCATACATCATGTTCTCTTCATACTATTATCATGTAAGTTCAAACGAGGGGATTATCTCGAAAAGTTACCACCATCAAAAGCAAGCTGGAAGCAGCGCGATCCTAAGATTCTGATGCAGCGTCCATTGCTGCAGCCGTGTTACCATTGCCGCCAATGATGACACTGTTCATACTACTAGTAAAGTCATATACATGGCCCATTTTAGCTCGTTTCGTCGCCAAGTATCGCTTGTTCTCCTTTGTAATAGGTGTTAGTAGTGGAACCCTGCCTGCAATCGCTAATCCATAACCCTTGAGTCCTTTGTATTTGGCGGGATTGTTCGTCATCAGCTTCATCGTTCTCACACCAAGATCCCTAAGTATCTGAAAGGAAGAATCGAGGTTCGAATTAGAAGACTTCTATATCAGTTAAGAAGAAAGCAAAATCAATTCAAAACAATGCATAAAGCCAAAGCATTCTAGTAGGCCGTGATCATTACAGATTCATGTTTACTGAACTTACTTCCATATGTTGTAATCGATGGAAAAAAGAAACTACATATTTAAGCTATATTACTCGGGAGGGTGATAGAGGTATGACGCCGAATATGTATCAAACACAAACACCGGGTCTGGGTACTTCAGAGAAACGAAAAATGGGAGCTATTCTGTGTGGAATGAGCTATGCCACACATTAAGGTTCAATATTAAAATCACAGGTATGTTTAACTACAATCTACAGAAGCACCATGTTAATTCTGGTAAGAATCCGAAACTGTAGAAGATTCAACCGGTTTGTTTAACTACTACAAATCAACAAATATTTTCTGCTTTTTAATTCAAATTTTCCTTTGTTTTGAACTCGATTCAGAGCAACAGGAATACGTCACAGGATATAATCAGTAAATTAATGGCCTGCAGCAGAATAAGAAAGTTATGTTCATTTCGGAACTCAAGATGGCAATCAATCACAATTGGTCATGATATCTTATAAGAGGAATACCTGTGCGCCAATGCCATATTCTCTTGAATCAACAGGCAACCCGAGCTCAACATTTGCTTCTACTGTATCACGACCAGCATCCTGCAGATTATAGGCACGAAGCTTGTGGCCTAAACCGATTCCCCTGCCTTCATGTCCACGGAGGTATACCAAAACACCCCTGCCAGCAGCCTCAATTTGTTTCATTGCAAGGCTAAGCTGATTCCCGCAGTCGCATCTAGCAGATCCAAATATGTCTCCTGTTAGGCATTCCGAGTGAACCCTCACAAGAATATCCTGTCCATCTCCAATCTCACCCTGTTTTCACCATAGAAAAGAATCATGCCATATATAGAATTGACAACGAATATTATGGTAAATCAGATATAAAAGAAAGTGAAATTAGCTATAAGAATGCTGATGTATCCTCACCTTCACCATTGCGATATGCTCAATCCCATCTAATAGTGACCTGTAACAATAGGCATTGAAGGGCCCCCACATTGTAGGTATCAATGCAGCACCGGCATGTTCAACTAATTTATCCCTCTTTCTCCGATACCTGTCAATCATAAGCAGGCAATACTAATCGTTTACTTTACCGTGCCTAAAAACTACAATTAATTGGGCAACATAACCACAGGATCCATGAAGCATAAGTAGAAAGCAAATCTCTGCATATGGTACTCGCTACTTTACCTAATTAAATCAGCAATGGATATAATTTTCAAGTTCTCCTGCTCAGAAAATTCACGAAGCTTTGGTAATCTAGCCATGGATCCATCATCATCTACTACCTCACAGAGAACCGCAACAGGGTCCAGTCCAGCTAGCATTGCAAGATCAACTGAAGCTTCAGTATGCCCAGCTCTTTTCAGAACACCACCTTCCCTGTACTTCAGCGGGAAAATATGACCCGGGCGGTTGAAATCCTCAGGTTTGGAATCTTTTGAAGCAAGGGACAATATTGTCGTTGCCCTATCATGTGCAGACACACCAGTTGTAGTGCCATGTTTTGCATCCTGGAAAAATTGGTTTTTTTTACAACACAAAAGTTGAGAATAATCCGAATTGTTGACCCCTAATCATACTTTGTTCAAAGTACCATAAAGATTTATCCAAAATTCGTATTTAAGCCTATTACTTTAGTAGGCAATCAAGATCATCAATATCCAGTAAGTGGCTCTGATTTTCAAATATGTTATGACGCAGTAAATTCAATTGAACAAAAAAATAAGGTCTCAAATTTTAGTGTCGTCGATACAAACTTCTTTCCAAATAATCCATTATTTCCCTGAAAAGAATGAATTATCCATGTATAACATACCACTGTAACCGTGAATGCAGTACGGAGTTTCTCTTCATTTTCCCTTGGTTCCCATCAAAGGAAGATTCAACCTCTCCAGATCCTCCTCTTTCATGCTCACACAACGATCCCAGTTCCATGCTTCACAATAAAGGCCATAGATTCAGGTGTCACCAACTGTGCCGCCATTATAAGATCTCCTTCGTTTTCTCTGTCCTCATCGTCTACAACTACTACCATCTGCAAAAATTAATTCCGATTACTGAAAAAAAGGACTAATAAACAGAAAAATAAATCTACGAGTATCACCAGTTCATGGAACCCAAAAAAAGCACTAACCTTGCCTTGGCGAATGTCTTCGACTGCCTCAGGGATGGAAGCAAAACCTTCAGTCGGGCGGTCCGAATCAAACTCATCATCATCAATGGGAAAACCATTACTTACAGATTTGGCATCTGCAGCAACATTTCTAATATTATAGCATCTTGTCGTGCACCAATCTCAACTGATTTATCACTAAGAGATTACCATTTTTAGAAACAGATTTCCGTCGGAATTCGACCGGAAGTTGCCTTCTCCGGAGCAAGTGCATCTGTAGTTTTCCATCACTTTAATAACAAACGACGATCTATGCCCAACCGTACGAAGGCCGAATCAGATGTGTAGCCATTTGCAAATAATATATTTGTTCTGTGTAATCCATTAAAGGATTGGAAGCTTTTGGATGACCTATGTAGAAAGAAAAGTCACTAAGAAATTCACACAATCAAATTTTCTAGCTGTTTCTTACCCCTAATCATACTTTGTTCAAAGTACCATAAAGATTTATCCAAAATTCGTATTTAAGCCTATTACTTTAGTAGGCAATCAAGATCATCAATATCCAGTAAGTGGCTCTGATTTTCAAATATGTTATGACGCAGTAAATTAAATTGAACAAAAAAATAAGGTCTCAAATTTTAGTGTCGTCGATACAAACTTCTTTCCAAATAATCCATTATTTCCCTGAAAAGAATGAATTATCCATGTATAACATACCACTGTAACCGTGAATGCAGTACGGAGTTTCTCTTCATTTTCCCTTTGGTTCACCATCAAAGGAAGATTCAACCTCTCCAGATCCTCCTCTTTCATGCTCACACAAACGATCCCAGTTCCATGCTTCACAATAAAGGCCATAGATTCAGGTGTCACCAACTGTGCCGCCATTATAAGATCTCCTTCGTTTTCTCTGTCCTCATCGTCTACAACTACTACCATCTGCAAAAATTAATTCCGATTACTGAAAAAAAGGACTAATAAACACATCTACGAGTATCACCAGTTCATGGAACCCAAAAAAAGCACTAACCTTGCCTTGGCGAATGTCTTCGACTGCCTCAGGGATGGAAGCAAAACCTTCAGTCGGGCGGTCCGAATCAAACTCATCATCATCAATGGGAAAACCATTACTTACAGATTTGGCATCTGCAGCAACATTTCTAAATATTATAGCATCTTGTCGTGCACCAATCTCAACTGATTTATCACTAAAGAGATTACCATTTTTAGAAACAGCATTTCCGTCGGAATTCGACCGGAAGTTGCCTTCTCCGGATAGAAGTGCATCTGTAGTTTTTCCATCACTTTTAATAACAAACGACGATCTATGACCCAACCGTACGAAGGCCGAATCAGATGTGTAGCCATTTGCAAATAATATATTTGTTCTGTGTAATCCATTAAAGGATTGGAAGCTTTTGGATGACCTATGTAGAAAGAAAAGTCACTAAGAAATTCACACAATCAAATTTTCTAGCTGTTTCTTACCAACCAAAGTACCAAACACACCAACATTCCATCATTCAAAAGCAAAAGATGACAAATAAAATCGCCATTTCAAATGTCTAAAGGCTTAAAGTTTACATGAAAACATTGGGTCATAAAATCTAAGTCAAGCAAAGCGTTTGTATAAGATCGAAATGGAACAGTTGATCGTTAAAGATAAAAAGCAAGGTTCAGAAAATCAAACAACATCAGAGGGAAAATCGAATTGTGCTAACAGAACATTAAAAAAAGAAAACCCAACGAAAATTCACTTAAACGACAAGGACCCGCTAAAAAAACAGAGAAGAAAGCTTACCCAGGTCGAGAAAGTGATGCAGTTGAAAGGGCAGAAAGGTTCAAAGAAGCCATGAGCAGTCGGATAAAAAGCTGAAATTCCAATACGGGAATTTTGATCTCACAAATGTAAATTTGAAAATGATTTTATATATATACATAAACACACAAATATAAGAGGCGGAGGAAAGGAAATGGAAGAATGTGGAACGACGACGGATGAGCTAATAAGTAACAGCAGTACAGCACTTCCGTTTGGTAGGTTTCTTTTTCACAATTAGTCGATAACATGTATAAAAATTTAGGGTAAACTACACCAATGGTCACTAATGTTTGGGTTAATGTTTGGGTTAATGTTTATTTTCATCACTGATGTTTCATAAGTCATAAATCGGTCACTAACGTTATCTTTTGTTACAAATTGGTCACTCGACGTTAACAGTCGTTACTGTGGGTGACGGAAAGTTGACCTGTACCGTTAAATGTTTACCTGGCCTGTTAACTGCTTACATGGCCCGTTGACCAATCACTAATCCAATAAAAATTGTTGACCTTTTTATGGAAATTAATTCTTCCTCCCTCATTCTTCACAACCATTCTTTACTCTTCCTCTTCTCCTTCACTGCATTCATCATTTGTCTTAGTTTCAGATAAAAAAAATCATTATTTTTGTTTAATTTACACATTTATACACCAAAAACACAGAGGGTAAAAAATTATAATGGGGATCATCTCCTTCACCGACATAGCTTTATCATCATTTTTTCGGTGCCGTCATTACCTATGAAGCACGGGACGGCAAAGAGCTCTGTTTCAAGTACCGATACATTTCGGGCACGGGGACTGTATGGGGACGGCTGGGGTACGTACCGAGAACGTGCCACGATGGTAGGGTACGGCTGACCGAATTAGGGGACGGTCAAAATTTACCTGGGGACGTTTCGAGGAGTATCGCAGTGCTGCGAACGGCGGTGGCACGGTGAGGAGTGAATGAACGACGGCTAGGTTTTGTTTTGTTTTTGATATATGAGTAGCAGTAGTAGTACTATAAGAAGAAACAGATAGAATGATTAGGATGAAGTTAAATTAAGAGATTGATGAACCCAGAAAAACCCATCATTCATCTACATTTTTTTTGCTTATTTATTTGTTTCACGACATTTGGAAAAGATGAAGGGAGAAGGAAGATTAAATGAGGGAACAAACACTCTTTTACTCCTTAACGCTGCTCTAGATCGTGGCTTGCCCAGCTGACGGCTAGGTTTTGTGAAAAGAAAGAAAAAGAAGAGGTCGCGCGCGGGGTGGGAAGAAGAAGAGAGAATAAGATTTAAATAACTTTTAGTTTATTTGTCAGTTGATCCCTGAGTATTCTAAGGCTTTCGAATATGACAATAATTTTGTAGTATTTTCAAATTGGCCACCAAAATTAATTTAGGTATTTAGGAAAAAAAATCTCATATGTTAGGATTTTTAATTAGATTTAAATTAGGGTGTTATACCAATTTTCTATGAAATATTGACTTTATTTATGATTATTTACATCTATTTATAATTTTAATTTTTTATATATTGTACCCTTACCGTCCATGTATCCTATAATTTTAAAAATTATTATTTCCCGTCCCCCTATCCGTTCTCATATCTGTATCGGTGCAACATAGGTCATTACATGTCCACCGTCCGACCGATAAGCATTGTCGAGTTTAATGGTACACATCGTCGCCATCGCTGAGCTATGGAACCCTCGTTTGCTTACAGACAACTTTCTCATTAACTGACTGTCGACACCGTTTTTCGCCCGGAAAAAAAACTTAGTATGACTTGGGGGGTTTTATTTGAAAAGGTTTTGAAATATTTTGGAGTCGTCAACCTTTTAGGTTAGGTAGGTCGAATACCAAATAACTTCCAAAGAACACACAATATCTCAATACACCGAGGCAGATGGAAACTAGAAATCACGTCATACTACTCGACTTCTTCAATTTTAATCAAACATGCAATGAAACAATCATCTTTTATCCTTAGATTCATGGAAAATTCAAACGCTTCGACTTCTTTTCCATAAATGTATTTGTTTAGCGACCCTATACGATTGACATCATTCACTGTCTCGAGTTGGCTATCTTTGTTGCTTGATGACTTCAAATATATTTCTTTTGGCTAGTTGTATCAACATCGTTTTAGCACCCTTGAAAAACTTGTTTTACTGCATCATTTGAGCTTCATATATTCCAGCTTGATATACCTCTTCAGCTATTTCCTAGAGCACCCTTCTGGACCATTGATGTGTTTTTGCATTTCTATTCTACCTCTTTGAGTAACATTGTCGTATTGAAAGACTTCTAATGCAACTATCAACTTGGGAATCAATACCTTTTATGACATGATATGTATAAAATATGTGTTAATTCCATATGTATAAAATATGTGTTAATTCCAAGGTAATTATCCTAGAACAACTTTCAAAGAACTCACAACGTGCCAATATGTCAAAGTAGATAAAAATATATATCGCTTTGGGTGACGTTGTTGTCTGACAAGCCTTCTAATTTGATAATTATCTCATGTATTAACAACATGTTTATGCACAAAATAAAGCAATTACGACAAATAAAGATGTTAGCAAAAATAATAATCAAAGAGAGGAAATGTATGTTAATGAAATATGAAAAGATTAAATTCAACTGGTAAATGAACCATAAATAAGTAAATAAAATACATAAAGGAAATTAAACCCTAACCGCATAATTTCTAGTTCACATGCAATTATTCAAAAATAATCTATCGAATAAATTAAAAGGTGAATGTAGAGTTCATTTCTCCTTTGTGTACACTTATTTGGGTACATATGGACAGAATTTTCTACATGATCTTAGACCGGGTGGGTTTCTACGGTTTATTATATGTAGAGTTTTCGGTTCTATGAGTAAAGGTACTCGAATTGTCCTTGTTAGTGCCCCTTTGGGCGAGTCAGACCCTCAATCCTCACCCATTATAGGCTTAAGCAAATCGAGTTAATTCGTGAGGGCACATTTCCCTATGCCTGACACGGAGAATAAATCCTCACGAAGACATAATGCATATGAACCCCGGAAGCTACTAGCTAGGTTTGACACGGAGAATAAATTCTCACGAAGACGCCGCTTTCACTCCCACTTAAAAGGAAGAGCTCGGGTATAGAGCTTATGTTATGCAATGCAAGTGTCGTGTGTGAGGAGAAATTATCAAATCTTTGACAAACAAACACACTAAAATCGAGCTAAAGTGAATCCAAAATTTTAATATTAGAAAATCAATCAAATACAAATATTAATATACAAGGATATAAAATAAAATAAAAAAAATAAAAGAATTGAAAGAAATCAACAGAATCGTGAATTAAATAAAACTGTATTCTCAATTTCCAACTATATAGACAATATATAATCGATTTAGGTTTTGATCCACTAAATTCCCAGCGGAGTCGCCAAGCTATCGACACTGTTTTTCGCCCGGGCGGGAAAAAAACTTAATACTACTTGGGGGTTTTTATTTGAAAAGGTTTTGAAATATTTTGGAGTCGCCATCAACCTTTTGGGTTAGGTAGGTCGAATACCTAAAACATTTCTTTTAAAATAGTTTTTAAAAAAATCATTTTAAAATATAAATCAGTCTACGTATAACAATAGATAAATTCTTTTTTGAAATAAAAAATGGGTTCGGGGATCGATTACATGTGGGGAAGGATAAGCCCACAACCAAAATTGATACCCATTAATTATAAATTGTCTCTAATAGTGGAAATCTAAAAATTATAATACAAATTTAAGTTATGATCCCATTATTCCAAATTCAACCATGCAATTTTTTATTTAATGGAAAATTCTAAGGAGAAATAAAAAATATTCTAATATTTTCAGTCAAAGAGAAAATAATCCCTAAAATGTTTTAGGGCAAATATTTCTCTTTCTAACTGAAATAAAAATAATATTATAACTTCTCCCAAGAATTCGAGATTAAACAATTTGATTTGACCAAAATAAGAAATTAAACCTATTTATCCAAATTATAGATTTAATTTGAAAAGATAAGGGATGCTTAATTATTATTTAAAAATATCGAGACATAATCCCTAATAAAATTAGGTGAATCGTCTCGATAAATTTAAATAAAAGAACATTTCTTTTTTCTCCTTAATCTTGATTAAATTAAGCAAACTCTATTTTTTAGGTTATTCTAATAGGGTATTTATTTATTTTAAAATATCAAAATAAGACATCTAGTTACTTTAAGACAGTCTTTCTTAATATTTTAAAATAAATAAATACTACCTTTAATCCGGTTATGAAATCAGTCGAGTTATGCTTATGACGCTTTCATACATATTCGAAATGTCTAAATCTATATGCACGAACAAATTGACATGGAAAATGAGGGGGGGAATCTTAATAAATTGAGGGAAATGTTGTAATCCATTTACTATGAAATTAATCAAAATAAGCATAGAAATACATTTAACAATTTTAAAATTTAAATATGCTAAGCAAGGTAAAGAAATATTTAACAAATTAATAAATCATGTTTAATGATAAAAAAATTAACTTTAGTGGTCAAAATATAAACACGACAAACACAAAGGCCAAAGATAAATATCACACAAATATAGGTGCTTAATTAAAATAAAATCATACCATAACATAAGAACCAAAGTGTAAGATAGCAAAATAAAGCATTCAATGTGACAAAAATATGAAACTTGCATATAGACATATTCATGAGACTAAAATATAATAAAACAACAAACATTAGCCAAATCGGAAATAAAAAGCGACTAAAATAAAAAAATTACAAATATCACATCCAAATCATAATAAAATAAAAACAAAATCCAATCAGTGACTAAAATGAATAAACATAAAAAACAGTGACTAAATTCAAAAGTTAATAAAATTAATAAGCATATTCGAAATAAATAACAAAGTATATGCCCATAATGCAACATAAGCTAAAATATGAGGAGCTTGAAGATGATTTTACCCTTGTAGTGACCAAAACGTAAAACATGCTGAAATTAGAGGATCTGGACTGCCATTTGACCCTGAAACACAAAGCAAAAAGAAACTAGAATCTGGGGACATGGTGAGTGATTTACGCATTTTCCATACACACAAAATATCACCCCCATGTTTACGTAAACTGCAGGAAGCTTGTTAAAGCTTCAAAAGACTCATACGGTCATCGCTCGCCGGCCCTCCCAAGCCGAAAACCGGGCCAGAAACCACCTTAAACCACCGGTGACCTCGCCAAGAACGGATGAGGACCGGCCAACTCCTAAAAGGCTAAGACTCACCCTCCTAATCTCACTCTCTCTCGTCCTTTCTTTTCACCAAGCCAAGAGGCTTAAAACATACCTTAGCGTCGGCCTCCAACAGTGGCGTTTCATGGCCAAGAGATGGCCTCTCTCACATGCCGGCCACCGCTCAACGGTGGCCACTCCTATGCCATCCACAAACCCCCATAAAATCAAAGAAAAAAACCAAGAAAAAGCAAGATAAGAAAGCCAAAAAGAAAGCCAAGATGGAAAGCAAAAAAAAATCATCCAAAACCTCTTTTCATTCCTCCATATTTGGGATAGGGGAGTTGTCTGATTTTACAAGGTTGGTTGGGGTATTAATAACCCAACCACTATAATATTATAATATTTTTTTGTACATAATAAAATAAAAATAAAAAATGGTGTTTACACTGACCAAGTTTCATCGGCCGCCATTAAATGCCCCCACAAAATCCACAGCTTTTCATCAACCCATTTCAATTAATTCTTCCATTTGTCTAAATTCAATCACTTTCTCTCAAAGCTGACTAACAATTTCCTTCAATAGAATCATCATTTGCCCAAACCCTGAACCCAAACCACAATCTCATTCCTCGATTTAATTCTCTTGTTCCACGCTTTCACTTGTTTCACCATTTCTCTCAAAATATCGTAGCCCAAAACCATAAGATCAAGGGAAAAATCTGGGTTTCGACCGATCGATAAAGGAGGAAGAAGACAAGTTGAGAGTTCATAGAAAAGACTTGGAAGAAATTGATGGGAAATAGGGGATTTTCTGCAGCAAAGAAACTGAGGAACTGAGTGAATCATTTGGGTCAAATGAAAAATATGGGGAAGAAGGGAAAGGAGAAGAAAAACAATTTCCATAAAAGGTTAACTTTCATAGTTTCATTGAATTAGTGATTGGTCAACGGGCCATGTAAGCAGTTAACTGGCCAGGTAAACATTTAACGGTACAAGTTAACTTTCCGTCACCCACGATAACGGTTGTTAACGTCGAGTGACCAATTTGTAACAAAAGATAACGTTAGTGACCGATTTGTGACTTTTGAAACATCAGTGGTGAAAACCGAACATTAACCCAAATATTAGTAACCATTCAAGTAGTTTACCCATAAATTTATAAATATATATACATTAGTATAGTGGATCGGTTAGTCAAAGAAAATTAAGGGTAAAGTATACAAATGCTCTCCCAATTATAGGTATTATTTTGGTAGGTCCTTCGACTATTAAAAAATTATAAAACGATCATTTGATTATATGTCGTTGTTTTGTTGAGTTTCCGAATATTAAAAGTTACAAAATGATCATTCAACTATTCATAGTTTCAAAACTCGTCATTTCTAATAAAAAATTGACGCTTGTATGAGTTTGATGTTAACCTACTGATTGAGATATAATATATTTTAATGTTTTTGACACCACAGTTACTTTCAAGCTCTGGCTCGACGACATAATGTTTCAGGTATTATCTCAACAACTTAATGTAAATGGATAGTTGACAAAATACAACTCAACAATTCTAAGGTAAGATTTTATCAAATCTTAATCAACATGTTAATGTCCAACTTAGACGATGATCAATTTTTTAACAGAAAAGGACGAGTCATATGAAGAGTCGGGTGACCATTTTATAACTTTTAATAGTCATTGGATTCAATAAAGCATCATTCTATAATTAGGGACCATTTTATAACTTTTAATAGTAGGAAGACCCAACAAAATAATGTCTATAGTTGAGGGATCACTTGTGTACATTATGCTGAAAATAAATTAATTATTTTTAACTCAAAATTGTAATTGGTTATAAAAATATAATTATTACCAGCAACCAATTGGTCTAGTGGGAGGAGACCCTAGGTCCCTTAAGCAAAGTCAGGGGTTCGAATCCTTACGTTTGCGAATGAAGTAAACTGAAATTAATAAATATATAAGGAATTAATAAATTATTTTTAATAAATTGATATTTTAAAATTATATATATATAATTATTAAATTGATATTTTTTTAATAAATTTAAGGAATTAATAAATTATTTATTGGACAATTGTTATATTTTAAGAACGTTGTATGTCTTAGGGCTTAAGTTTTAGCGAAATTTAAGTTCAGGTTACAGTGTTAGTTTAGAATTTAAGGATTAATATTTAACTTTAGATTTTGAGTTTAAAGATGTATGATTAGATAAAGTGTTTTATATATATTAAAAATACAATTAAAAATAAAAGAAAAAAAGTAGGTTTTATATGTGTTTGTGTTTGTGCTCATGCAATGTGTTTTTGACACATTACATACGTTATTTCTTTTTAATAAAATTAGTATAACTTTTATGTTTTGGGTCTATTATTCTCATTACTTTTATTTTTTATGTTTTGGGTCTATTATTCTCGTTACTTTTATTTTGGTCCTGGATGACATCAACGTTAGAGACTTTACCCTAAAAGCATGCCACATTTGCAAATACGCGCCCTGCAACCTACACCTTTTGAATATCATTTAACTAAATAAATATAAAATAGTTATCATTCCCACAATATTACCCCATTATGTGGTAAGCGAAGTATGGCATAATTGTCAATTGCATAAGTATCAACTAGAATAACAATTATAATTAGAATCAATTATTATAAGTACGAAATTGCATGCTTAACTTAACAACTAATTAAAATTAAAATAGAATAAAAAAACACATATATAAATATGAATCTGGTAAGTCCAAGAAACCATCTTAAAAAAATTAAGCTTAGGAAACATCTCAATTGTCAACTACCTTATTGTCGAGCAAACAATAAAGCAAGAGAGTGCACATAGCTTCACAGCAATTAGAAAGCTTCAACCTAGAATTCAATACAGCGAAATGCTAAGAAAATGATGGTTCATGGTAGTTCCAGGCATGATCAACTAAAAACAAGCAACGGAAGAGAAAGTGGGACGAACCAACTTCTCGGTACCAAACAAGTAGAGAAGCAAATTACTACCACAAAGATTGGGGACTTCAGGGTTGTTTCTCGTCCTCGTGTTTGGAAGCTTCTTTGATCTCATCAGTCCCGTCATCCTAAATAGATAAAACAATATAAAAAGAAGAAACATAGATGGCTAAATACAGAGGCAAGATAGAAAAAACATATAAGCGGGCGGCGTCAAACCTGCATATCCGAGGTCCACAAAGTGAGGTTATCACGAAGAAGTTGCATTATCAATGTGCTGTCCTTGTATGAATCCTCTCCAAGAGTATCCAGCTCAGCAATGGCTTCATCAAAAGCCTGACGAAAGAAAAGAAAAAGTGTTGACTTAATAGAATTTGAAGACAAAATAAATGAATTCCAAATGAAGAGCAAAAAAGGATGTGCAAAGTAAAAGAATATACCTACACTGTTTTTGATGAACAAGATGAATATTTAGACTAAACTAAATTTCTGAAGTCTTCTAATTCTACCTGTTTGGCAAGACTGCAAGCACGATCGGGAGAATTCAAGATCTCATAGTAGAAGACAGAAAAGTTCAGAGCCAATCCTAGACGTATAGGATGAGTTGGTGCTAATTCAGTATTAGCAATGTCCTGGAAAAAAAGCAGCACAAAAAGATACAGATAACATCAACAAAGGGTCAGAACCATGGACAAAATACAAATAACAATCGCCTTAGCAAACTCAAAGCCAGAGGTAAACATCAACAACGATCCATATAAACAGGAATTAAACAATGGCATGACTGGAAATGCCAGATAATCTGAAGCAACTAACATTACACTACAAAATGAATTAATACCGAGGAACTTTGAATTCTATGTTTGGGGGGAGGTGTAGATGAGGTGAGGAGTGACTATATACCATAAACACAAATTTCATTGGTCCCAACAAGAAATTCAACTGTGCCTAATGCACTTAAATCAGACATAATAGATGCAAGTTGCAACATATAAAATACAAAACTAATTTATGAATTGAGACTATATTTCTCGATAATTTTAATGAAATTCCTATTGCAGTTCGCAGAAATGTCTTCTAACGATTATGTTTCCAAGTCAAGCTTAACTAGGGGAATCAGATCCGGATCTTAGGGATAAGAAATACACAACACATCAAGCGCATATTGCATGAACAAACTACTAAATCAGGTCCAAATTCAAACAAAATGAAAACACATTTCATCATAATCTACATCTAAACTTAATCAGACCCTAAAATTACACATCAAAACAAGCAAAATACACAGGATCGAACCGGAATTTACAGAAATGGCCATAAACCTGAGCAGATTTATACGCGGTGAGGGTATTTTCGGCAGAGACTTTCCTGTCATCGCCAGTCTTGAACTCAGCCAAGTATCTATGGTAATCTCCCTTCATTTTTCAGGATTATTAAACTTTCAAATTATCCTTATTTTAATCATTTCAACGTAAAATAATTAAGCGCTGTTATAGTATGAGAACCTACACCAAAGTATTATCATTTTAGACACTTAAATAAAACCAAATTTAATTTAACAAAAATATAAGATTTTCCATGCAATACAGCAATAGGTTAGGTACACATTAAAGTTTCCATGACAGACAAGTGTTTCAAGAGCGGAAAGCAGATTTTACATCAATAATATGGAGGTGAAGTTGATGTATGGATCAGAAAGACTCCTTATAAGTATTTCATTTGCGAATGCTTCTTTTTCTTATATAGGATATCGTTTGTGAGCTTGCAAAAGTTCAAGACGACGACGATAAATATGGGTAGCAGAGAAAATACAAAAAAAAGGAGGAATTTTCGTCAAATTTGTATGGTCGAATTATGTCAAGCAAGTCAACTTAAGTTCCTATGCATCACATCAATTTTTTATTATTGGGATAACGGTTATTCGGCTATTTGTTATAAAAAAAATAACATCAATGATTGTTTTGTTACTTTTGAAATATTAGTTGAGAAAAAAATTATTCATATTTTAACGATCATTTATATAGTTTACCCTATATTTAATTTAATAAAAAAGAATGTTTTTATTATAATTGATAGATAAGGATAATTTGATACTAAAATATAAAAAATTATGATGTGCACATGTGACTTTATTAAAATTATCTACATTTATTGATAATTTTATCAAATATCATCTAAACATATTTATTTTTCCAATTATATTTATAATATCTCTAAATTTCTTTTTTTTTCTTCTTCTCAAATATCAATTATTCTCTAATTTTACTTTGAGATTCGACGAGATATATAATTTTGTCTCTTATATTGATTAAAGATCTTACTTCAAAATCAATGGATTCATTTACGTGATATGATATCGCTTAAGAATATCTTGAGTTTGAGACTTTGCATTTACAGAAAATCTTCATTGAGAGATTCATCTACCAAAATTAGGTGTGCGGACGGATCAGTCTAAATTATTCAGGATAAAATCATGGGAACTAAGAGAGTAATAAAAAAAGACATTATTGGGTGAGTGAAGGCCCAGATTAAATCGGCCCATTTAAAACCTAAAAGATCAAGCTCTTTTAAGCCCTAATCTCCTTCTCCATATCCTCTCTCGCGCTCTGAGCTGCCTCCTGTTATTTCGAGCAGCAGCAGCAGCTAAACTCGATCCAAAAATCAAGGTAAAATGCACCTCTCCTTAACCAAAAAAAGCAATGAAAACTCTAATTTCATAGCTATAACTCTATATTCCATGTGTTCAATTATTATTTTTGGCTGTCGTATAGTTTAATATCGCAAATCCGACCACTGGTTGCCAGAAGAAGCTCGAGATCGATGACGATCAGAAGCTGTAGGTTTAATTTTTTCTTCTTTAGTTCATTCTGTTTGAAAAGCAATGAGATATGTGTGTATCGAATTTTGGTTACAAGTGAAACAAAGCCTAAGACATAGGTTGAGTATATGAAATTTACTTAAATTCCGTTTTGTGATTAAAGATATTGATGTTATTTTAATGCAACAGTCGTGCATTTTTCGACAAGCGGTCTCGCAAGATGCTTTAGGCGAGGTATGCGGACCAGCCATTTGGCAAATTTATTTATTTATTTTGATTAATGATTGATATGCTCGAATTAATAGAAGTTTGTTATTTTACATTTATTTCAACAGGAATTCAAGGGGTATGTTTTCAAGATCATGGGAGGTTGTGATAAGCAAGGATTCCCGACGAAGCAGGGTGTTCTGACTCCCGGTCGTGTTTGTCTCTTGCTTCATAGAGGTGAGTTTTCTGGTCTAGTTTTGATTTGTGCTTTATGTGCTTGATAGAACTTTTATATTGTAGACACCTAATTTTGTCCGGTTATGTCTTCAAACGATGCTAGATGAAGCCTTGAGCTTGATCCAATGAGGTTTGCATTCAAAATCATTGGTATCATATAGAATCTAGTAATGAGGTTAGGCTTTAAATTGCGTAAAGATTATGTGCATTGAACTTAGAGGCTAGAGTTTTGGCATAAAACTTAGTTTAGCTAAGATTTACTCTAGATAGGATTTTTTCTCTTTTAAGAAGGAAAGAATGATGTCTAGCAGTGTGAATTTATTTGTGGTGCCAAGTGATTTATGTCTTAAGACCAGTTTTTATTGTCAAGGATTAACAAGTTGTTAGCCTGATGGACAAAATTCCCTTGACCCTACTTCCTGCCCCTTCCACTCATACATGTCATGTATCTTAATTGTTTTGAAACGAAAATTCCAAATTCAAATATAGAAGTTGAAATTACTTTCTACATGTCAAAGGGCTGGTTGAAATTACTCTCCATTTCAAAGGCCATCATGAACAATTCCGCCCCATTTTCTTGTTGGATAAATCTAATTTTACTTTTAATCATTTTTAAAATACTATTGTTCTTCTAAGAGAAATATTTTTTGGTATTTCCCCCAACATTCATTTATATTTTTTTCATTTAAAATATTGACCTTTAAAATAAAAATTGTTTAAGGATATTTCAATAAGAAATGAAATTATTATTTACTCGGTGGTAAGACTACATTGTATTGCTGAAGAAAAATTATATTATCTTTATTTTTTATTTCATTATTTTAAGAAAAGGGTGATGAATTTTGCTGGATTAATTATAAAAAATGATTTAGTGGCCAAAATGGTATAACAGAATAATTATTGGAATCATGCATATTACGAAAATTGTCTGATTCTGCCTGTACTCTTAAGTCGTGCATACTTATTTTATCTGTAGAGTTGTATTGTTTGCATTACCATTTTGATATCTGCTGTCTCAGTACTCCGCTAACCTTTGTAGATTGGAATGTCAATTTTTTATCCTTCATTCATGTCTGCCTCTGCAGAATGAAAGGTGAATCATTTATTATATTGCTTAAGCAGGTATGCCTTGCTTCCTTGGATACGGAAGACACAATGGCGAGCGTAGAAGGAAGTCGGTTCGTGGTTGTTTTGTTAGCCAAGGCCTTTTTGTTTTGAACCTGGTTATAGTGAAGAAGGGAGAGAATGATTTGCCGGGTCTAACCGACACTGGAAAACCTAGGATGAGAGGTCCTAAAAGAGCGTCCAAGATTAGAAAGCTCTTTAACCTTTCCAAGGAAGATAATGTCTGAAAGTATGTCAACACTTACAGGCGGACTTTCACAACAAAATCTGGTAACTTTGTTCTTTCTTCCTCAACTGTCTTTTAATAAATATGGCCATTAGTGGATGCTTTAGCCTTTATGTTTAGCCTCTGTTTTAAATAAAGCTGTTATCCAGTTATTTGCAAACTGTGAATGATCTAACATATAATTATAAATTTATCTTCTAGAAAATAGTGGAGTGCTTAATGCGCACAGTTGTAGGTTGTATTTTCTAGAAAATACGAAGCACAAAATTCTTGGTTTCTAGCTTCGTATTTTATAAACCCGAGTACATGGTTTGCATCTGCATGTCTCATTTGTCCACCGCATTCAGGGGTGTAAATGGACCGGACATGAGCAAACAAGGTTAGGGATGAGCATTCGATTGAGTCGAGTAAATTTTTTTTTAGTTATTCGAGTTGACGAGTCGTATTTTATAACTCAAACTTAACTTGAAAATTTTTCGAGTCTAGTTTAAGAAATTTGAATCGAGTTATTTGAGTCGAGTCCATCGAGTTTCTATACTAATTTTATTATAATTATTTATAGTATTATGATAAGGATTGGTTCTAATTTTTCAACTTTCTCTAACCATGTAAGATATATATTTCACATTCTTTTCACATTATAATGTTATTTAATATATCAGATACAATCTAAAATTATAAAATATATTTGTAATATTATATTTTAAAGAAAATATTTTGTGGGTAAAAATATTGATGAGAGTATAAAGGAGTCAAAGAACTGATGGGAAGAAAGAATTTGAAAATAATTGCAATCAAAAGATCAAATTGAGTAAAATGCAAAGTTAAAATACTAAATAAAAAAGAGTCTATTTTTAGTAAAAAAAGAAAATAAGAATTGAAGTTGCATGGGTATTATATGGTGGTATATGAGCATGTGGTTCAAATTTGATGAAAATTTAACTTAAAATACACGATGAATTGAAGAAATAAAGAAATTATAAACAATTGAGGGGATTAAATTGAAAAATAGATTTTTTATCAAAGAGAGAAATTGAAAGTAGATATGTATTCTATAATGGTTTAGGAGCATGTTGTTCAAATTTGGTAAATAATTGACCTAAAATGAAGGATAAATTGAAAGAATAATAAAATCAGGATTAAATCGTAAAACTGTCAAAATACATTAGTCAATTTTTTTATTTTTTGAGTAACTCGAAATTTTAAAAATTCAACTCGACTCAAATTCGAAAACTGAATTGATAATTCGAGTTGACTTGAATAACTCGAAATTATTTTTTTTTTTGATTTTTCGAGTCAAATTAAGTTTTGTTCACCCCTAATAAGGTTATGTTTGTGTTCATTTGATTTGTTTAGCGTCAACATGTGTGTTTACATGTTTAGAAAAATTGTCAACATGTGTGTTTACATGTTTAGAAAAATTGTGAAACTATGACACTAGTCCTTATGCTCCTTAAGTTTCATAGATTGGAGATTAAGTTTCATAGATTTAACTCTAGTGTTCATCCTTGGGGTGTCGTATCGCATCCGAGTATGTGTTGGATTGAGCGCTGTATCGCTGTACTTGGGGTTTTGGATTGAGTATGTCAATTTATGGGGTTTGCATGCAAGGTCAGTAAAGCGCTCAAAATCCAGAGGCTGGTAACTCCATTGACACTCCAGAGAAAGCGGGCTAGAATCGCCGATAAGAAGAGAATCGCCAAGGCCAAAGCAGAGGCAGCTGAGTACCCGAACCTGCTCGCCACAAGGTCCGCAGCGAGAATTTAGCCAAAGGAAGGTCCAAGCTCTCCGCTGCTTCTAAAAGCCTACC